TGCACTCTGACCCCCAGCAGGAACCGTGGGGGCTTGGGTTGGCCTCCACGGTGTTTGGCTGCACGTGTTCAGGAGGGAGGGCAAGTCCAGGCGGGGCCGTGGGCCCGGCTTCCGCGATGCCGATGCCGCTCCCCTCTCTTCCCTGAGCTCTCCAGTCAGTGGCCCAGCGGCGTTTGGCCACGTCTTGAACGTAATTAGATTGTTTAGATCAAGCGGGCGCTCTCCCCCCTTCTCGCCTGTACTCCCTTCTTAGTGATAGGTTTATTCCTATGATAGAAATGAAAATTTGAGATTAAAAAGAAAGCTGTACGATGGGTGAAATAGCTCTGTCGAAAAAGACTTAAGTGAGCCTCTGAGCATAGCCATCACCTGGACTTCAATTATGTTCAGCCAGACGGCGTTCTCTGAAGGATAGTTTTAGCGCTTCTGAAGATGTCTTTGTAAAGTAAAAATTGTGGCCCTTTAATGTCCATAAGCTTCACTGTTAGTAGTTTCTCAGGGGGCAATGGTCGGCTAATTCTCTTTTTTTAAAAAAATTAATTTATGGCTGCGTTGGGTCTTCGTTGCTGTGCGCGGGCTTCCTCTAGTTGCGGCGAGCGGGGGCTACTCTTCGTTGCGGCGCGCGGACTTCTCATTGTGGTGGCTTCTCTTGTTGCGGAGCACGGGCTCTAGGCGTGTGGGCTTCAGTAGTTGTGGCTCACAGGCTTAGTTGCTCCGCAGCATGTGGGATCTAACTGGACCAGGGCTCGAACCTGTGTCCCCTGCATTAGCAGGCGGATTCTTAACCACCGTGCCACCAGGGAAGTCCTGGCTAACTTCTCTTGGCATCAGTTGTAAGGTCTGTTTCCAGTTTGGGGACTGTTAACTGACGCAGCATGGGGGTAAGGCAGGAACAGATCTTGAAACTACGGTATAAAATCTGGCGGTACAAAATGATTCCCCACTGGGTTCTGTTCTATGGTAAGTTTTCTGACTCTTTAACATGTCAGCTTTTAAAAGCTCATTTGAGACCCAGCCATTAATTGTTGGAGGAGGTAAAACTAATGTTAGTCACCGCTTATACAACATGCACAAATTACACTTTCTCTCAGTTTTCAAGTTATAGTTGTCACACATTTGAAACAAGCTTTTGTCTTGATTTTAATCCCTTTAACATTTCAACCTAAGTAACTAATTGATTAAGTCTTAGCAGAAATGCAAGGTGTGGCTGTAATTTTGTGGAACTAATTTTCCTGTAAACAGGCATTGATGGTACATAAACAGTAATCAAAAAATGCTTTGAACAATGGAAGCATTGCTGCGTTTTCAACCCAATTTGATTGTGTAAATTCTATTTTTAAGATCACTCGATTTCATAATCACAGTTTTTATTTCTATGGCAGAACAAATTTTAATTCCTGAAAGACAGAAAAATCCCATCATTGATACTAATTCTATTCAGTGTTTTATTTAAAATGACCAAATGTAGCTGTTCCAGAATTAATCGGTATAAGTGATTAATACCATGGACTTTGGAATTAAACAGACTTGGGTTCTAGTGCTCAGCTGCACTCTCTTTACCTATGTAGCCTAACCTGGGGGCGGGGGGTGGCGGGGCGGGCAGTTACTTGTCTTCTGGAGAAATCTAGCAGAATGGGCACAGTGATGGAGCCTACCCCACAGGGTTTCTGAGGACCAAATGAGATGATGGACGTCCGGTGTTGAGCTCATTGCCTGGCTCAATAGGCTGATCGTGACTGCCTCCCTCCTCTGTGCCCATTGGAAGGAAGCCACGGTTCCCCAGAACCTGCGGGCTTAAGAGCCTTTTACACTTGCGGGAGGGAGCTGAGTGAAAGGGAGTCTTAGAGGTGAAGCTGCGGGGACAACTGGGTGAAAAGATAAGTGCAGGCGCTCCATACTCCACCCCGCAGCTGCTCCACAAGGGCCTCCCAAGCCTTGGGAGGGCCGCTGTCAGGGCTGATCCGGAGGGAGAAGCACGCAGGAACCAGCGAGCGGGCGAGGCGGCCGTCACCCAGGTGAGTTCCGTTTTGTGTGTGGGCAGTAGACTGTGGAAGATTCAGGACCCCAGAAGGAAAGCAAGTGCGTAGGAGAGAGGGCCCCAAGACTCGCGGAACACATGCAGGAGTCAGGGAAGGGGGTGGTGTAGGAACAGAAGCAGCGGCGAACTTCGTGCTCTCCTAGTGTTTGTCAAGGCAGAGCCAGGAGACAGGCTTTCAGGCGCAAGGGCTGCGGCCGCTGCTGGCCTGCAGGCCTCGAGTCCGCCAGAAACATGTAGCCTGTCCTCAGGCGGCTGAGCACATGTTATAAGGGAAAACTTAGACTAAGAACTCTCCGTAAACGGTCACTTTACCACATCTGGAAATCCTGGGTTTAGAAAACAGGAAACTGAGAAACTACCCAAACAGGCCTGGGGAGGAAGGCGCGTTTCCGCGAAGTTTTCTGGTTGAAGCGTCTGACGGACCGAACCCTGAAAGCCTCACTCTGGAGCCGCGTGGAGGTTTTGCCGCCTACCCCTGGGGAGGGGGATTTCCAGAGCTCTAACACCTCAGTGTTATAGCTGCAGGGCAGCCCCCCACCATGGATTCGTGGTGGGGCCAGGCGGGCAGAGCGGGAGCGCCCTGGTTGGGCCCGGGCCGTGATCGGCCCTCTGAGTCCAGAGGAGGGGCTGTCCGCGCTGAGGCCCGCAGGTGACACCTGCTTAACTGGCATCAGGTGATGCGTGAAGGAGGGAAGCGGTACCGAGCTGCCTTCCCCTCCCCCACAACCCTGCACAGCTGGCAGAGCTTAAGCGAAGGCACCCGGCCGAGTGGAGTGTGCGTGGGGATGTTCACAGAGTGCGCTGCCCTTTCAGCACTGGGTTTCTTGGGGGATTCTGCCGGTAGCTGGCTCGATGCTCTTAGGTCAGAGGCCTGTGTGAGGTCACAAATGCTCAAGTCTTGATTTCCTCTGTTGTCCTCCCTTGCCAGTTAAGGCTCGCACGTGTTAGGGGCTGACTCGTGCTAGCGTCTTTTTGTTAAAGTCACGCTAGTCTGCAGTGCCAGGGGGTCTGGGGACAACACATCTCTATCACGCTTCTTGCTGTTTGCAGTCCCCGCCCCATCCCTGTGCGTCACAGCCTTCTCGCGACTCTGTGCTCCAGGGCCTCTCATCACCGCTTGAAATTCCCCATCCCTGCTGCTCCAGGGGAAAGGACTGGAGGGGAGAATAGACATGGTGCTCCTAACATTTCAGAATAAAAATTGTGGTGGCCACAATATTGAGTGTTGCATTCAGGTTGAAAGCGCGTGAAAATGGGCCAGTTGTTTTTTTTTCCTTTCTATCAATTTTTTTAAAATTAAGGTATATTTGATTTACAGTGTTGTGGTTATTTCTGCTGTACAGCAGATGATTCAGTTATACATATTTATGCATTCCTTTTTCACATTCTTTTCCATGATGGTTTATCATAGGTTACTGAATATAGTTCTCTGGGCTATACAGTAGGACCTTGTTATTTATGCATTCGATACATAATAGCTCACATCTGCTAATCCCAACCTCCCACTCCATCCCTCCCCCAACCCCCTTCCCCTTGGCAGTTCTCTGTTCTCTATGTCCGTGAACTGATTTTTAAAGTTTAAATTAATATTCAGGGAGAAGGATGCCTGTACGTTATGACAAATGCAGGTGGTGAACAATTTACCAGTCTGTTCTCTATG